TATATATATATATTCTGCAGACTTCCTGTTTGGTGAAAGAGACCTACAGTGTTTGAAAGTCCCTAAAATTCATCTCACAGGTCTTTCAGCACTTTTTGTAGTTGTTAATTAACTATTCTTTAACTCTGCAGGTACAGTTTGGATGCAGGAAATCCTCACACTGGTGCTGAATGGAGGAGATCTGACCCCAATCAAAACAATTGTAAACTGGGATCGAGTCCCATGGCTGGAAACAACAAGACTGGCACAGATTGTGGACCAGTTGGCATCTCCACGTGGACTTGTCTCACATTTCCCCTACAACCTCATGCCCCCTTCTTTCCATACCTCCAAGGCCAAGGTAGCTGAGTGAACACTTTGTCTGAGACTTACATTTTATTATCTGATATTTTCATGTTATATTTTCACACTGTTCTCTACAGGTGATCTACGTCATGAGGAACCCCAAGGATGTCTTCGTGTCTTCATACCACTTCCACCAGATCACTTCTTTTGTTGACGATCCAGGAACTTTTGATGAGTTCATGGAAAAATTCCTGGAAGGCAGAGGTCAGAGGTCACACCTCACACACTAAATTTACTCAGAACAGCATTGTAAATCTGAATCAAAGTGTTTTACCTTTATTTCCTGCCATGGGAAAAGATTACTGAATAATAAGAGTTTTGTTGATGTCCGAGGTAATCTGTGTTAACCAACCAAAGAGCAGTTTTTTCATTCAGTCTTTCTCATCTGCAGTGATGAATGGAAAATGGACAGATCATATAAAGAGCTGGAAGCGTGCCGAACTGGGAGACAGAATTTTGTTCATCACATATGAAGAAATGGTTCAGGTGAATATCTGAGTTTTTATAAATTAATGTTATTGTTAATATTAAATTAATATTATAAATTATTTTTTGTAACCAGATTAGAAACCAGATGTACAATTTTTCTAAACTGTTTCTTTTATTTATGTCTGTCCTCATTGGCATAATTCTGATTAGAGCAGTGTTTCCCAAAGTTGGGGTCGGGACCCAAAGTAGGGTCCCGAAACATCAAGGTGGGGTCCTGAAAAGATTTTCTGAATTAATTACATTTTAGCCTTAGTTGTTACAAAGGAGTGAGGTTAGTGTATTTAAAA